CGTACTTTTTTGAAATTTAGTAGAGTTTTGTAAATTAATATTTTTCTTAAATATATAAAAAAAAGGTTTCAAACATTGTACAAAATTAAGAAAAATTTATAAAATTTTTATCAAAATTTCAAACTGTTTAATAAAAATTTTTACGAAAATTTCGGGTATGCAATAGGCCATTTTTTAGTATAACTTGCAAGTAAAAAAAAATTTCCAAATTCAATCAGAACTTTGAACGACTTCAAGCTTACACTTTAGTACACTAAAATTAAATGAGCTATGGGTGGTGGTAAGGTTTGCTTGCCAACAAACGTAGTTAATTTTAAATGGTACTATAACATGATAATCAATGACCAGGACGGTGTGAAAAACATTAGGATCGTTCACACAGTGAAAATTTCATTCACATTCGGATGTTAATTATTATTATTAAAGTGAGTTAAATCTCCAATGTGAAAACGCTCCTTCCTTAGTGAAATAGTGAAAAAACATGAAGAAGAAAAACAATTGAAGAAAAAATCGTGAAAAAAGTGGAGTGTGAAACTTAAAGCAAAGAAAGCTAATAAAACGATATATAAAAATTTTGCTAGTAAATGTGGTTTTATTTGTATTAATTAATAATGAACAGAATAAACAGGAAACATAATGAATATAAAAAACGTGGAATGCTATTAGCCGCTAACAAATTTATTAAATGCCTGTGAAATCAGCAAAAAATTCAAGTTTATTTNAAATGTGGTTTTATTTGTATTAATTAATAATGAACAGAATAAACAGGAAACATAATGAATATAAAAAACGTGGAATGCTATTAGCCGCTAACAAATTTATTAAATGCCTGTGAAATCAGCAAAAAATTCAAGTTTATTTACGAGTACAGCTTAAAAAGTCAAGACAGTTAATTCTATAGAAAATTATATTTGTTATAACGATATTTTTGAACAATTAAATGAAATTGAATATATTAAACTTAGAAAAATTGTTAGAATAATGCAATGCTATAAATGATGATTAAAAATGTGTATTAATAGTAATTATGAAAGTGCACTTAAACCGTAAATGTATTGCTGATTTCACGAATTGAGAGCATTTTAAGTTTTGAAATTACAAAGATGTTAATGGTTGAACAACGCAATTAGAACAAACATGTGGACAAAATATTAAAAAAAAAAATGTATTAAAATAACAAAGTTAATATAAATTAAAAAAGGGAGCAAAATAAAGATAATTTGTACAGAAATTGTCGTGCACAAGTATTCGATGGCGGATGGTTCGAGCATAAAGTCATTATGAAAAACTAAACTTATTATAAACTACATAAATCATATTGATCTCCATTGAATTGCTTCTTTGACTTAATTCAAAATAAAAATCAAAGCAAAAAAAATATTTTTTGCCTTCAAAAATTATTGAAAAAATCGCAGTCTTTGAAGTGATCTAAGTGGCGACAGGCGCGTTGGCGCCACAATGCAAACATAGGATTCGCCGCTTCGACTAATTCATCGTTAGCAACATTGTATTCAAGCACTTTGTGATGACTTACTTTAAAGCCACGATGTACACGATCCTTCATGATCGCTATAAATTCTCTGTACGACAGCATACCGTCACCATTGTCATCGAAAATTGCGAAAACTGTATCGATCAGATGTTTGCTAAGCTTGAAACCAGTGCAGATTTTTACAGCGCGCGAGAATTCACCTGAAAGGAAGAGATATTTTTTTATAAAAAAAAAAAAAAAAATGAATTTAACCGTTATTAACATACTCTGCGAGATAGCACGATCAGCCAGCGTATACATGCGCATAGCGATTGCAAAATCTTCCAGATTGTTGAGGAAACGACAAAAGTCACGAAATTCTTCGAATGTTATGCCACGCTGCACCTTAATGCGATCCATTAGACGCTCCAAATAGGCATCGTACTCTTCCGTATTGAGGTAGGTGTAACGCAGCAAAATTTTGGCAAAATCGTTCTCGGTGATGGCGACATTACCCTTTGAGAATTCACTGAACTCCAATTCCAGCACTTCTGTTTGCAAATTATCCATGAACTTGTGGAAGCCATCGTAGTTGAGATCCTGATTGCCTTTCTTGCCGAATAAATGTATTTGTAGTGTCGTATCGATGCGATGCTTGCGCTGCAGCCCTTCGTCGTCATCGATGAAGTCGTCCTGTGGAAATAAATTGAATACGTAGTGAGTTTGCTGAGCTAAGGAGTGAGTAGCCAAGAGAGTGAGTAGAATAGAACTTTAACAGTTGAGGTATGTACGTACATATATAAGTAATCATGCAATAGTTAAGTCCCATTTTGATTTATGTTC